TTATTTATTCATTAAATTTGTCAACCGCCCTTCTCCCCCCAATGGGGGAACTCTGTGCGACTAACAACAAACACTAATATATATATATATATAAATACATAAAACATCAGTTAAAAACATTACTAAAAAGGGGAAGGAGAGTCCAAGAAGATGAAAAATCTGAAGCTGAAGACAGAAGGCAGCTAGCTAGCCATCCCCATGCTTGAGGTATTCCCTCAATAGATAGATAGATAGATAGATAGATAGATAGATAGATAGATAGATAGATAGATAGATAGATAGATAGATAGATAGATAGATACTGCAGTACATCAGGGCACCTTTAGATGTCTCTCCATGTATGTTATTATGAATAAAAGTATCTGTTTGAATTCTGAAGTTTTCTCTGCTGCTGTTTTAAGTAAACAATCTTTTACTTGGGAGGTTTGACAGAAGTCAATAACCTTCTGGTGAGGCAGGCTTTCTTGGCCCAGGGAAATAGTGCAAATGGGTTGGAGAATCCAGTTAAGGGATGACCGCTTGGGGTTGTAAATCTACGAACAGTTACTTTGGCAAAGCCACTTCTTTTTTAATAAATTCTTTTTCTTTCTCTCTCTCAACTTCTTTCTATTTTTCTATCATCATTATCTAGGCTGATCCTCTTGGCCTAAGCTGAGAACTGTATAACCATCAGGATAAACATGCACCAGGAAAAAGGCTGTTGCTTTTACCTCCCTGGTAGTGATATCTTCTCCCAGTGGATGGATACATAATGATTATTAGTCAGGATGGTTAAACAGCTGCTGCTCTATTCACTCACATTCAAGATAGGAAAGGGAATATTGCTGTGAAAACAAATTAAATGGCCACATGTGTACGTGCTGTATGAACACTCGTCCAGCTTCTCAGATAGTTATAAAGCCATTATGCTGTTAAGGCTGCTTCCAGCACTGGATCTTGGTATTCATTCCCACGGGACCTATGCAAAAGTCCTTTCAGCCATCATAGTGAAAACATGTCCTCTTGTGAATGGAATGATGGGACATTGAAGGCAG